TTCTCTCTGATGCCTGAACATTTTTTAAGAGACACATCATTCTCTAGAATTTCCTAGTGTTTATTCACTTTATTTGGAGAGTGCAACATAGTCCAGACTTAATCACGTGGCACTTGAGGCAGCTTTGGTTTTGCACCTCGCATCCAAGCGCCATCGGTACAACGTTTCACTTGTCCTTAAAAGCCCCCATCATAGCTGTTGGGTTTCCCTCAAGGGCATCTATTTCACCAGGAAATCCAGTTCTATTGACAGTACTTAATAGTTAATCATATTTGCTCAGATTGGTGTTCTGTGCTGTTGACTGATACTTTTTTCTGGCATAAGATAAAATTGAAATGGAAAAACATCTGCATCCCACTTTGCAGTAGAAGGCTTTATACCACTTCCAATTGCCTTTGAAACTGAGTGAAGTAATGGTTGTAAAGTGCTTTCTAAACAATAAGGTATTATTATGCCATTTTTGGTCTTAAGGAATACATGTACTATTAGAAGGAGCACTTTTAGCAGCATCATTCATGGGTTTTAATTCTGACTGGGGAGCTAATTTAGTTGTGTGGCCTGGGGCAGGTGACTTCCCATCCCTGGTCCTTGGGTGTCTGAAATGAGAGGCAGGGATTGGGACTTTCTGGCCTTCCATAGCCGAGTGGTGCTTACGTGGTAAGAACGTCTGTTTGACACCATGGGCACGACACAGGCCTGAGAGTAAGTATGCCACATCCCATCCCTGACTAAGAAAACAAAGGTTCTTTTTATTTTTGGTTTTTGGTGAGAACCTTGCAGTAGACAACTGCTGCTTTCCTTCTGTTTCATTTCGTTTTCTTCATCTTTGTGTGTATATTTCTTTTCCTTATATTTAAGCATACCGTTTTGTCCTGTGCTTCATTATGTTCTTTGTCATTGTTTCCATTTCACTTTTCTTGTGTTTCATTCCTATATCTTTCTTGTCTAGAGCAAGTGGAGCACGCAGCTGGCAGTAGCCTCTGTGTAGGACCTGCAGGAACCTGATGGTAAGTGCACACGTGTACTTACCAGGCTCCCAGTGGGCTCTGCCAGCCCCGCTCCCACAACAGAAACCAGCCAGTCCCCTCGTCCCTTTGTCACCCTCACTCAGGTTATTTCTGATTATAGGTTTGTTTTTTTTATTTTAACTTGGTTACACATAGAACAGAAACCAAGTATCCAGAAAAATGTACCAACTTAAGGAAATGGAGCTGTTTCCAAACCTGTAGTTGCAATATTTGGCTTTGGGAGTGACACCAAGCATACCTTAGTGTGACCCGGGACTCGCAGGTTCTAATTCTGTTCTGTCAGAGACTGAGTAGTCCTCATGGGGGCCCTGGCCTGTGGTTTCTCTTGCAAGATAACAGGTAGGCCAGGGCATTCCACTAGCTCCCTCACCCTAGTCTGGGGTCCTGATGGGAATAGCTCGAGTGTTAGATGCTCTGATGAACATTTCCTGTACCAGATAACCTCAGGCCCATGAAAGAATGGTGATTAGATTCATGATAGTTGCATTTCTATCATAAACTAAGTCTATCTTTGTTTACCAAAAGGTACTTGGGAGGTAAATTTAATTGTTCATTCCTTCTTTTTAGAATTGGTTTATTAGTGTTTTCAAACACTTTCTTTAAATTTTATAATAAATGTTTAAACTGCAGAGCCTCACCTGTCTTTAGTAACCTATATTATATTGGGTTAGCCCAGTGGTTCTTACCCTGGGGAACAACCCCACCCCCCGGTCCAGGGACATTTGGCCAAGTCTGGAGACTGTTGGTTGTCACACTAGAAGGTGACACTGGCATCGAGTGAGTGGAAGTCAGTGATGCTTCTGAATGTCCTCCGATGCCTTGGAGAGCCCCAACCAGAGCGTGATCTGGTCCAAGTGTCACTTGAGCTCCAGTTGAACCACTGGTACCCAGGCTCTGGTAGCCTGTGGGGGGATGCTCTGGGAGCCCAATAAGTAGGATGCAGATGTTCCTACGGAAAGTGGGTTTTCTTTACAGGGCATCAAGGTTTCCTGGTTATGGGTTTGAAAGAGGGTACCTGGGGGCAGAAGGGATACTTCTCACTGGTGAGGTTTGGAGAGTCCAAAAATAGACATTTGGCAATCAGTATAGCTAGGTGTTCTCATACTTCCTTAGGCAGAGAATAAAACTTCAAGTGATATTTTTACTTTTTAGATAGTTATATGATTTTATTTTGAGTACATATTAATGAATAGTATTATTAAAGTTGTAATTGGCTTTATTATAATATAAATCTAGAAATCTCACTTAGTACTTTGCTCACGTAGGGCAATTCACTCTCTTTATATAGCCTGCTCACTAGCCTCTCTAGTGCTTGAGAAGTTGCAGAAAATCTCTGAGTTGCTTTTGCAAGGAACAGTAGTACAATAAATTAATGTCTGTAATTCTATTAAATTTTACTGTGTGATTTTTTAAGATTCATGTAAGGTTTAGGCATAAGGAGGGAAGGTTTAGACCATACCTCCGTATTTATGTATTTTGAAAGGTCATATATTTCTTGGCCTGTTTGGAGTATGTGAGGTGGTACTGATGTCTTACAACACATTTGTGGTTTTGATCCAGGAAAAATTTTCTGAATATAACTTTGGAATGAAGTGTCTGAGGGGGCAGCAGGCATCCTGACGTGGGTCTTATGAGGCATGACCTGTGGGACTAGAGCAGTTCCTGCTGGTAGCCAGTCACTGGAATTAGCATTGTTTGCTACCAGTAATCTGAGATGGACTGGGCATATGTCATCATGAGGATAAGAAAACTGGTGGAAAGGTTAGAATCCAAACTCCCTAAAGCACAACTGGATTCCTCAGGAGCCATTGTCATTATCAGATTCATGCCAGTGCTGTGACGGAGGGAGAAAGATTGAGATAGGAGGTGACTTGTGGTTGTGTCATGTGTTTCCATGGCCTTGCCCCTTGCAGCGGGCATGGGCTTATAAACCTTCCCCCCGGAGACGTGAATCTACCTGCTTCATGAAGATTCCGCTTCTGTGCGAGGCTCCAGTGAAGTCCTGAGTTCCATTTGGCTGCCTTTGGACACGAATGAACTGACTTGTTTTCAGATACGTGTTTGAGTAAACTCTTTCTTACACAGCTGCAGAAAAGCTCTGTTTTCTTACTGAAGAATTAGGGATTCAAAATGGTGTTTTAGAATTTTCTTTTAAATGGCTGATTAGTAAGTATTTTATTCATTTTTTTCTTGTTGAATCTCTTCAATATTTCTCAAAATCTGGTGATGTTTTTTTACCATTAATATCTGGTTCGTATTGTTTACAAATGTTTCTATTTTTAATCATTATGATCTTTGCAATGATAATATTTTGTTTCTCTGATCTTAAGTTTCATCTATTACCTACCTTTTTTTTTTCTTCTTAATATATTTTATTGATTTTTTACAGAGAGGAAGAGAGAGGGATAGAGAGTTAGAAACATTGATGAGAGAGAATCATCGATCAGCTGCTTCTTGCACACCCCCTACTGAAGATGTGCCCTCAGCCAAGGTATATGACCTTGACCGGAATCAAACCCGGGACCTCTCAGTCCGCAGGCCGATGCTCTATCCACTGAGCCATGCCGGTTTCGGCTATTACATACCTTTTAATTAATTATGCTACTCTGTAGTTATTCTCTGTTATGGAGAAATACCATTTTCCAGAAACTGCCAATGTTTTCTCGTTTGTCATTTTACTAAACCAGAGATCAAGGTGGCTGTTGTTGCAAAAGAGAAAGCTCAGGAGGCTCTATGAAGCTTGTTTGAGGGGAGAGCATTGCAGAAGGAGAAGGGAACTGTTGGGGAAGGTGATAGGACCTGTTCTGAATCTGAAAACTGAAAGATAAAAGCTACCAGGCATAAGAAACTGGGAATTAAAAAATGGCAAAGAAGGGTTGCAAATTCTGGTTAAATCCTAACGAGACCAAATGCTGAGCTCCCACTAGTAGTAACCAGGCTAGAATTGGTGTTTTTTTGTTTTTGTTTTTTTGTTTTTTAATATATTTTTATTGATTTTTTTACAGAGAGGAAGGGAGAGAGATAGCTAGAAACGTTGATGAGAGAGAAACACTGACCAGCTGCCTCTTGCACACCCCCTACTGAGGATGTACCCGCAACCAATGTACATGCCCCTAACCGGAATCGAACCCGGGACCTTTCAGTCCGCAGACCGACGCTCTACCACTGAGCCAAACCAGTTATGGCCAGGCTAGAATTGTTTATCTTTACTGAGACTCTTGGTGACTTGAGTTCACTGTTCCAGCTTGTCAGAAATGTGCTGCATTTTCATCTTATCTTCTGAACTGTGTATCACTTAGAATTCAGTTAATGTTTCCTGAATCCCAGCTTCCAAATTGTTAATGAAATATTGAATGGTTCTGGTTCTCGAGTTGAGTCCCTCAGGACCCTCAGAGTGCCGTGCAGGCTGGCCACAGTAAATTATTCATAATTACTCTGCTTTGATATTTGAGCCATTGTGCATGAATATTCCTTACAATTGAGTGCAATCTCAGCTTCTGTTGTTTTACTGTGACAATTATAGGTGTTCATGTCATAACTAAAAGGGCCCCAAGTTATCCCATATTGTTTTCCCTATGTTCTTATAAATAACCAGATTTCTGCCAGTCCCTGTTATGTGTATGGTCTTAAAACTAAGAGCTATCATCTAATTTTCCTGTGACATCAGTATTGTAACCTTTCTAGAATCTATTATCTGTTAGTTCGATAGTTGCTTTAGAGCTATGAGAGAACTAGTGCCCAAGATTCTGAAAAATACAAGATGTATGGGTTTCTTTTTTTTCTCTGACATAATTTAAAAGTATTTATATTCATCATCTATTCCTTTCTTTAGGGATTGAAGTGATAATTGCCTAGAAATAGACAGTTTGCTCTGATTGGATTAGTGATGGTCTCTTTCAAGAATTCGGGGTAATAGTAATGAATGAATGAATGAACAAACAAACAAACAAATAAATGGCTTATTTGTTTCAGGGAAGAAAAAACCCCAGGAAAATAAAAACAAAGGAAACAAAACTGAAGACCTACAGCTGAAGACAAGTGAGCCAGATCACACCTCTGCCAATATGAGAGATTCTGCAGAAGGTAGGCTAGGGTATTGGGCTTGCATGATTTGCATGTGTATCACCATTTATAATTTTGCTTTTTATTTTGTTTTGTTTTGTTTTGTTTTTTGTTTGCTTTTTTTTAACCATTTATAATTTTGTACTAGAGACCTGGTGCACAAAATTTGTGCATGGGGGCGGGGTCCCCCTCAGTCCAGGTTGCACCCACTTCAAACCAGGACCCTTCAGAGATGTCCAACTGCCAGGATGGTGCCTAAACCGGCAGTCAGACATCCCTCCCACAATCCAGTACCACTGGTTCCTAACTGCCCCCCTGCTGGCCTAGTTGCCCCAGCTGTCCGTCTCCCCCCACTCCAACCGGCCTAGTTGGCCCTAACTGCCACTACCCCTCCTTCCCGTCAAACTGGACACCTCTTCCTGGCCCGCCATCCCTCCCCCCCCCCCAAGGCCAGCTTGGTCACCACCAACTGCCCCTGCTGCTGGCCTGGTTACCCCAAACTGCCCTTCCTGCCAGCCTGGTCACCCCTCACACCTCCGCCCCCACCCCTACCCCACCAGCCTGGTCGCCCCATGCAGCCTATTTGGTCATCCGTTCAGTTGCGATGGTCGCTTAGGCTTTTATTATTATAGATTTCTTTGGCATGCCCACCTGAGAGTCATTCAAGAAAAGAAACAGCAAGAAGATTCCTTACAAGCCCTTCACATCCCCATCCTCTTAAAAAATGCACTAAAGACCTTCCTTGTTAGAAATCAAATTATGCTTGGTTAAAATAAAATGAAGCATTCTATATGATTGCATTTATAAATAATTTACAAAGTTCAAAACCATCAAAAAACATCTATAATGACAAGAGTCAGACTGACGGGCTGAGTGGGGGACAGTACTAGTCCATGGATGTGTGGGGTGGGCACGTTGGTGTATTTACTTGTAAACATTTTATCTTGCTCTATACTATGATTTGCATACTTTAGGTATGTTTTGCAGTTCAGTTAAAAAGTTACTTAAAATATTAAACACCCTTGATTTTATATATCAGAATGACAAATGTGCAGAGTGAAAAATGTTCTTTTGTTAGAATTTTAATTCCTATTTTATCTCTTGTGTTCTTCCCATTAAATTTTCTATGGTCTCTTCTGAGGACTAATATTCTAGTCCCTTCATGCTGTAAGAATTTAGAGACATGGATTGGAAATTAATTAGAAAGGCAGATTGCTCAGTTGAGCCACCATATCCAGACTATTGCTATTAGAAAAGAGGGAGTTATGTCCTAATTCATTATGTGGCCATTTTATGCAAAGACCGGAGCTTGCTCAAGAGTTGTTCATAGTGACCCAAATAGGCAAATTTCAAAATGTAGGCTTGTGACTTTCAAGAAACATTTGTAGAGAAAAAAGCCACCAACAATATTTTTTATTCCTCTTAAGCCATTTTGTTAGCACTGTTTGTGGTGATGACGTCCATAAAGGATTGTAATTTCCTGTGGCATTATATGAAGCAAGAATCGACAAGTTTACTTTCCAGAACCTTATAAAACTAAGTTCTGCCCGCTGATAGCAGATTTGCTTGAACAACAAAAATGCTAAGGACCCTCCCTACATTTAGTGGCAGAATTAAAAACAAAAATCCAGGAGCCCATTTCCCACGTCAAAAATTCAAGACAGTTATCTTTTTTTCTTGACATAACATCAGGCCCCATGGAAGAAGATATTAGGTCTAGTAATAATTAATGTCGTTTTCTAATACCTTTTTAAAAATCGAATTTATTTAAACAACAAAATTTAATCAATAATATAGTTGCCGTTGTTTTCTACTACTTGTGCCCAACACTCAGGAAGCATTTTAATCCCTCTGTTGTAAAATTCTTGTGATTTTGATGCAAAAAATTCAGTCAATGCATTTTTGAGGCATTCTTCATCATTAAATTTTTTTCCAAAAAGAAAGTTTTGCAAAGAACGAAACAAATGGTAATCGGAAGGGGCAATATCAGGAGAATATGCAGGTTGAGGGAGAACTTCCCATTCCAACTGGCGCAGTTTTTCAGCAGTGATTCTTGCAGTATGCGGTCGTGCGTTATCGTGGTGAAGAATTATGCCCTTCCGATTAATCAGCGCGGGTTCTTTTTCTCTTAAAACTTGGGCTAACCTTTCCAATTGGGCACTATACACTGCACTTGTAATGGTTTGGTTAGATGGTAAAAGTTCATAATGAAGAATTCCTTTAAAATTCCACCAAACACACAACATCACTTTTTTCGCATGCAAGGCAGGTTTTGGCGTGGGCTGCGGAGCCTCATTTTTGTCCAACCATTGAGGCCACCTTTTCAAATTAACATACAGCTCCCATTTTTCATCTCCGGTAACAATTTGCTCTAAAAACGGCAAACGGTTTTGACGAGAGAGGAGCAAATTGTGACTCTTTAATTACGGTTGTTGTCGGTCAACTCATGAGGAACCCATTTTCCAAACTTTTGGACTTTGCCAAGTGCACGCAATTGATTGGAAATTGTTTTTTGTGAACAATTTAAAGTTGTCGCAAGCTCTTGTTGGGTAATTTGAGGATTTTGCACCAAAAGAGCTTGAAGAGCTTCTTGATCAAAATTGGACACACGGCCTCGACCACTCTTGTCATCTAACGAAAAATTTCCCTCGCGAAATTTCTCAAACCAACGCTGGCATTTTCTGGCGCTAACTGCATCTTGACCAAGAGCACTACCGATGTTTTTTGCAGCCTCACTTGCTTTTCTTCCTAATTGGAACTCGTAAAGCATGCAGTGCCGAAAATGCTCTTCATCCGCCATCTTCTTAGCCCTAGTTTTGCAACAAAAACCAAACCAAACACAAACTTTTTCAAGCAAAACTTGTTAATTGCACTTCACACGTTCTGTAGATGCCACGTGTTTGAAGGTTATGTCAATACAAGTCAACGCCAAGCAAGGTTTTCAACGAATTTAAAAACGACATTAATTATTACTAGACCCGATATATGCCAGTAGTAGGTGAACAACATTGTCAAGATCCTTATCCTTATAGAGCTAGTGAACATAAGCAGACACCACCACTAAAATGAGTGGTTACACCAGCAGAAGCACACAAGAGGACCTTGTATGTGGCTAAATCAGAGGAGGCTTCCTAGACAAAGTACTGGGCAGGCTGAACGCGAAGGTCAAGGAGAGAAAAGGAAAGGCAACAGGAGGAATCAAAACCTACAGCACACTGTGAATTATTCTGGACTCACCCGTGGGCAATGGGGACCCATTAAGACATTTTAAAGCAGGAGGATGGCAGTTGGGAGATTTTGGCTGTGATGCGGATTAAGGGACGGGGAAGACACGTTACTGCGGGAAACCAACACTGACACAGCAGTAGAAGGGAGATGCTGCTGCTTACACTAAGACATGTAGCAGTGGAAAGAAGCAGTGGAGGCAGACAACAGTGGCCAGACTGGCAAGATAGAGGAGCCTGTCACAGACCTGGTGAATGCCTGCATACAGGGAAAGTGGGGGTTAAAAAGCCAACTGTGCTGCGCTCTCTAAATGCAAGCTTTCCTAGGAATGTCAGTCTTACTTTTACCCTTATGCCCACCATTTTACTGGCAGTGAGGTTTCTGCTTCTAAACAGAAACCAGTCTTCCCATTCCCCTCCCCCCAAACCTGACAAATTTCATGAATTCCATGAGTTTTCCACAAACCGAGAAACAGTCATTTGCTGGTGGTAATGTATTTCAAATTAGGAGCTAAAACTCCCTTTGAAATACTACATGTTCAACACAGACCCAACATGTTGCTAAAAGAAAGCTGGAATGAGACTACAGAAATTGAAAATAACATCTGTAAGGCACAAAAATTTCTTTAAGGAGTTCTTTTTGAGCCAAAATCTATGGCTTCTTTTAATGGAAAAAAAAAAAAAAAAAAAAAAAAAAATATATATATATATATATATATATATATATATATATATATATATATATATAATGTATTATTTTTTTTCTCTGTGATTGGTAAACAATTTCAGATTTGAAACTGTCCAAAGCAATATAAACCAAAACTCAGCACTGCTCACTAGTAAGGCCCACACCAGAGTGTGTCCACGTGTCACTGAGTTTTAAACGTAACGGGAGGGTTGGGAAACACAGGAAGAGTCTGGACTGCTTGCTCAGACCACTTTGGAAGAATACGCAGAACATTCAGGAATGACAACTACACTGTACAGAACCGATTACACTTTAACCATTTATTCCACAAAAAGGTAAAATACTAAGGACTTATACATTTCTAAGCTCAGCTTCTGTTGAACTGGAGTCATCTATTACTGCTTAACATCCTTACGTGGATATCTGTCAGGTGCCTCAAAGTTTTAATACATCAAAATGAACTCTACTTACACACACACACACACACACACACACACACACACACACACACACCTCTCTGCTCTTCCCTCCGTTTCCTCCTGCTTTGCGGTTGTTGCGGTTCCTCCTTGGCATCTCGCTCACCACAGCTAGTCAGCAAGCACATCTTGTTAGTTATCTCCAAAATGTATCCATAGTCTGATCATTCCCACCTCCTCCCCTGCCACCTAGTCCCCCACTCTGGCCCTTCTCCTGCAGGATGCAGCTCTTGTTTCCCTGCCTCCACCCTTATCCACTTGGAGTTGCCTATCTTCCTTGTACCACGAGTGATCCTGTTGCATATGAGTGAGTTATGTCATATGTCTGTTATGACTCCAAGTAAAGGCCAGCAGCCTGCACAGTCCTATGTGAGTTGGCCTCTGATTGTATCTTCTGCTCTCGTGCCTTCCTCCACCCCCTCCCCACAGTCTTTCCAGCTTCCTTGCTGTTCCTTGAACACATCCAACAGGTTCTTGATTTAGAACTTCAGTATCTGCTATTTACTCTCTCCAGAGGGCTCCCCTCCCCTACATAGTCACATGACTCACTTTTTTAGGTCTCTGCCCAGTCACCTTACCAGGGCGTCCCTCCCTGCCCCCCTGGGTTTCTTCTCGGGCATTGGGACTCCTGAGCTGCTAATCGTTGATCAGGCTTAGAAGAAATGATTTGAAATGTTTCTTTTACTTGAAAAAACCCTGAGATGTTTCTGGAAACTGTTCTAGCTTCTAGCTTCTAAAAATGTAGATTTAGTCAGGAAGGGTGGAGAGAATCATTCCATTCAAGGAAGACCACTAAGAATCTAACGTGGTTGGTAATATATTTGACAACTTATTTCAGTTTGGAATCCTGAGAAATTGGAATTCACAACTAGTCCCCTAAAATTCAGTGTCTGCTACTCCAACACAATTTTAGGCATTACAATTTCTATAAATGAAAATGTTTATATTTGTGTGACTAAACACAGAAAAGAAGCTAAGCTCCAGTGACTCTCTGTTCATATATGTCTCCTCACTGCCCAGTGTGCGGCCTGGTTAATACAGGTGCTCTGTAAATAGCAGCTGAATGAATGAAATGGATTTAAATCCAATACAACTTTATAAATGAGAACGTAGAGCTGTTTGTTATTAATCTTAACTCCCTTACACATTTTAAGTGCTAAGAGAAATAACTTGAATACTAAGAATTGATCTTAAGTCGGCTCGTTTTGCCCTCACCTCCATGCTTCTACTTCCCTCTGCTTTCTAGGTGCCAAAGAAGAGGACGAGAAGCCCTCAGCTCCGGCAGCTGAGCAGACAGCTGTTCAGGAGGTGGTTAGTCAGGAAGTGCTTCCAGAACCAGGAACCCCTCTCCCTGCCTGCGAGCTGCACACAGAGCCAGACAAGAAGCCAGAAGCAACAAACTGTGAGGTGAATGACGTGGAGGAAGAGGAGGAGGAGGAAGAGGAGGAAGAGGATGGGTTGGAAGAGGAGGGGGAAGAAGAAGCTGACATGCCAAATGAAAGCTCTGTGAAAGAGCCAGAAATACGGTGCGATGAGAAGCTAGAAGATTTATTAGAAGAACCAAAAACCATTTCAAAAGAAACTCTCGAAGACTCTCCAGAGGCAACTCCTGTTATCAAAATTCCCAAAACGAAGGAAGAAGCCAATGGTGATGTATTGGAAACATTAATGTTTCCATGTCAGCATTGTGAAAGGAAGTTCACAACCAAGCAGGGGCTGGAGCGGCACATGCACATCCACATATCTACAGTCAACCATGCTTTCAAATGCAAGTACTGTGGGAAAGCCTTCGGCACCCAGATTAACAGGCGGAGGCATGAGCGTCGCCACGAGGCAGGGTTCAAGCGAAAACCCACCCTAACACTACAGCCATCAGAGGACCCCGCTGATGGCAAAGAGTCCGGAGACTGTGTCACTCCAAAAGATGACTCGAATCCTCCCAATCTTGGGCAAGACTGTCTGATCCTGAGTTCAGAGAAAGCTTCCCCAGAAACAGTAAATTCTTCTGTTGTAGAAGAGAATGGAGAGGTTAAAGAGCTTCATCCCTGCAAATACTGTAAGAAGGTTTTTGGCACTCATACTAACATGAGACGGCACCAGCGCAGAGTTCACGAGCGTCACCTGATTCCCAAAGGTGTGCGGAGAAAAGGAGGCCTCCTGGAAGAGCCCCAGCCGCCCGCAGAGCGGGCCCAGCCCCCCCAGAATGTCTACGTCCCCAGCACAGAGCCCGAGGAGGAAGGGGAGGCAGATGATGTGTACATCATGGACATTTCTAGCAATATCTCCGAGAACTTAAATTACTATATTGATGGTAAAATTCAAACCAGCAGCAGCACCAGTAACTGTGATGTGATTGAGATGGAGTCCAGCTCGGCAGACTTGTATGGTATAAACTGTCTGCTCACTCCCGTCACAGTGGAAATCACTCAGAATATCAAGACCACACAGGTCCCCAGAACAGACGATCTTCCTAAAGAGCCTTCCAGCAGCACCAACAGCGAATCCAAGAGGCGGAGAACTGCCAGTCCTCCCGTGTTACCCAGAATCAAAGCCGAAGCGGAGCCTCAGCCCATCGCACCCTCGTGCTCCTTGAGCCTGCCCCTCAGCATCACCACCGAGACGGTGACTCTCCACAAGGAGAAAGGCGTGTACTTGTCCTCAAAGCTCAAGCAGCTCCTTCAGACCCAGGACAAGCTAACTCCTCCTGCAGGGATTTTGACAGCCGAGATCACTAAGTTGGGTCCCGTCTGTGTGTCCGCTCCTGCGTCCATGCTGCCGGTGACCTCCAGTCGCTTTAAGCGGCGGACCAGCTCCCCTCCCAGCTCTCCACAGCACAGTCCTGCCCTGCGAGACTTCGGAAAGCAAAGCGATGGGAAAGCGGTGTGGACTGATGCCGTTCTGGGTTCCAAAAAGCCCAAGTTAGAAAGTCACAGCAACTCCTCCCCGGTGTGGAGTTTGTCTGGGAGAGACGAGAGGGAGACCGTGAGCCCGCCATGCTTTGATGAATTCAAGGCCTCCAAAGAGTGGGCCGCCAGCTCCACCTTTAGCCCCGTGTGCAACCAGCAGCCCCTGGATTTATCCAGCGGTGTCAAGCAGAAGGCCGAGGGGCCAGGCAAGCCTCCGGTCCAGTGGGAAGCGGTGTTAGATCTCAGTGTGCACAAAAAGCCTTGTGGGGACTCGGAAGGCAAGGAATTCAAAGACAGCAGTGTGGCGCAGCCAGCCTGCAGTGCCGGCAAGAAGAAGAAGCCGACCACCTGCATGCTGCAGAAGGTCCTCCTCAATGAGTACAACGGCATCGGCGTGCCCACCGAGAACACGGTGGACGTGGCCAGGAGCCCGAGTCCTTGTAAATCCCTGGATCCCCAAGCCGATCCTGACCTCGGGCCTGACACGAGTTTATCTGCCCCTACTGTGGAGTGCCCACCTGATGTTTCTCCTCCACCTCCTGCCTGCCAGACACCCTCTCTTTCCTCCGGGCAGCTGCCTCCTCTCTTGATGCCAACACATCCCTCATCCCCTCCGCCCTGTCCTCCTGTGTTAACCGTTGCCACACCACCTCCTCCACTCCTGCCCACCATACCTCTTGCGGCCCCCTCTTCCAGGGCGTCTCCTCTCCCGTGTCCCTCCCCACTCTCCAATGCCACTGCGCAGTCCCCACTGCCGATCCTCTCTCCTACGGTGTCTCCCTCGCCTTCTCCCGTTCCTTCTGTAGAGCCTCTCACGTCTGCCGCCTCTCCGGGGCCTCCGACACTCTCATCATCATCTGCATCTTCATCCTCATTCTCTTCTTCTTCCTCCTCGTCCCCCTCTCCGCCGCCTCTGTCAGCAGTGTCATCCGTTGTTTCTTCCGGGGACAACCTGGAAGCCTCTCTCCCCATGATCTCTTTCAAGCAGGAAGAATTAGAGAGTGAAGATCTGAAACCCAGGGCAGAACCCCCGTCTGCAGCTGAACAGGATATTGTGCAGGAAACATTCAACAAAAACTTCGTCTGCAATGTCTGTGAATCGCCTTTCCTTTCCATTAAAGACCTAACCAAACATCTGTCTGTTCATGCTGAAGAATGGCCCTTCAAATGTGAATTCTGCGTGCAGCTCTTTAAGGCGAAAACCGATTTGTCGGAACACCGCTTTTTGCTTCACGGAGTCGGCAATATCTTTGTGTGTTCGGTTTGTAAAAAAGAATTTGCTTTTTTGTGCAATTTGCAGCAGCACCAGCGAGATCTCCACCCGGACAAGGTGTGCACACACCACGAGTTTGAGAGCGGCACCCTGAGGCCACAGAACTTCACAGACCCCAGCAAGGCGCACGCAGAGCACATGCAGAGTTTGCCGGAAGATCCTTCAGAAACGTCGAAAGAGGAAGAGGAGTTGAATGATTCTTCCGAAGAGCTTTACACGACCATCAAAATAATGGCTTCTGGAATAAAGACGAAAGATCCAGATGTTCGACTGGGTCTCAATCAGCATTACCCAAGCTTTAAACCGCCTCCGTTTCAGTACCACCACCGGAACCCCATGGGCATCGGGGTCACGGCCACCAACTTCACTACACACAACATTCCGCAGACGTTCAGCACTGCCATTCGCTGCACAAAGTGCGGCAAAGGTGTGGACAACATGCCCGAGTTACACAAGCATATCCTGGCCTGCGCTTCCGCCAGCGACAAGAAGAGGTACACCCCCAGAAAGAACCCAGTCCCGCTGAAGCAAACGGTGCAACCCAAGAACGGGGTGGTGGTTTTGGAGAACTCTGGGAAAAACGCCTTCCGACGAATGGGACAGCCCAAAAGACTGAACTTTAGTGTCGAACTCAGCAAAATGTCACCAAATAAGCTCAAATTAAATGCTTTGAAGAAAAAAAACCAGCTTGTTCAGAAAGCCATCCTGCAAAAAAACAAATCCGCCAAGCAGAAGGCGGACTTAAAAAATGCTTCAGAGTCCCACATCTGCCCGTATTGCCATCGGGAGTTCACGTACATCGGAAGCCTGAATAAGCATGCTGCTTTCAGCTGTCCCAAAAAACCGCTTTCTCCTCCCAAAAAAAAAGCTTCCCATTCGTCCAAGAAAGGTGGGCACGTGTCACCTGCCAGTAGCGACAGAAGTAGTAGCAGCAACCACCGCAGACGGACCGCAGATGCTGAAATTAAAATGCAAAACACGCAGGCTCCTTTGGGCAAGACTAGAGCTCGCAGCTCAGGCCCCACGCAGGTGCCACTGCCTTCCTCGTCCTTCAGGTCCAAGCAGAATGTCAAGTTTGCAGCTTCGGGGAAATCCAAAAAACCACCCTCTTCTTTAAGGAACTCGAGTCCGATCAGAATGGCCAAAATAACTCATGTGGAGGGGAAAAAGCCCAAAGCTGTGGCCAAGAACCATACTGCTCAGCTCTCGAGCAAGACGGCCCGGAGCCTGCACGTGAGGGTGCAGAAAAGCAAGGCTGTCTTGCAAAGCAAATCCTCTCTGGCCGGTAAGAAAAGAACAGACCGGTTCAATGTAAAATCTAGAGAACGGAGTGGCGGGCCCATCACCCGAAGCCTCCAGCTGGCAGCTGCTGCCGACCTGGGCGAAGGCAGGAGGGAGGACAGCAGCGGCAAGCAGGAGCTGAAGGACTTCAGGTAAGCCGTGTCCCAGGGCCTGAGGAACTCAGCTCCGAGTGCGGGGGCGGGGAAGACGGTTGGAAGCGAACAGTATGCTTGCCCAATGGCTTTTTTTTTTTCTTTTCTTCTTCTTCTTCTTGAGTAATTTTGACATAAGCACTTAAAGGAAATGGGGTTGCTTAAGTGATAGGCTGCTGCAGAGTTGGATACCGTCTAGCTTTAGCTCAGACCCAGGACTCGCAAAAGTGTGCCATTTTTTTTTAGGGCCAGTGTGAACTGAATCTGAAATCATGGAAAGCTCTCCAAAGTGCCCTGTTCTGAAAAGATGAAATCCTCTTAAACTTCCTGCCTTTCTTGGGTAATATCTCAATGTCTCTTTCATTTTTTTCTGGATTATAGGTTGTTTCTTCTATTAAAATGGATCTCTGAGGTCATTAAAACCACATTGCAATCTCATCAATATTTCTGCGACTCAAGCGTAGTTATAGTAATGGAGAATGCTTCCATTCTTCATGCTTCTATTATTTGCATTCAAAACGCTTGCCTCATGGGTTAAAACAAAATGCTCATTTGTAAATGCCTTAAGTCCCACCCCCTCCTCTCCCGAAGGAGGAGCAGCAGGAGAGGGCTTAGCACCGCAGCAAGGCCAGGCTCCTGGCTCCCCCAGGCACAGGCCGAACCCAGGGCCAGTCAGCCTGGCCTCAGTGCCTTTGTTTCCCAGTAACGATGTAGGGATTCATCTTAGATTTGAGGTGATTTTACTTTTACTGTTTTATTTGTGTCCTCCCTATCTTCAGAAATGTTCTCAGTGACACAAAGACAGGGCAATAGTTAAATTAGTTATGTTGACTTCTCAAACCTCCTAAATCACTTAAATAACTTTGGTGTGATGCACTTTCTTGGGATTCCTGCCCTTTCCGAAAAATGCCTGCGGGTCAAGCTTGGAAAAACTCACCATCAGATAGGATCTCTGCAAAATCCTTCAAAACCTTGTCCTTTCGGAGTGAGCTGTCCCTCTCCGTGTGTGAAAGTCTTTGGTGTTTCAGGCAAGCAGACAGAGTTCACTGGGGGTGGTCTGCCATGTGGGGAGGTCGTGAGGATACATAGGTGTGGTTACCTGGCACAGCTGATGAGGTAGAATTCTGGGTGCCCATGTGTCTTTAAGTCCCTGCTAAAGAACAACGTAGAGAAGACTCGTTAGCCAAGACTGATAGTTAAAAAGCTACTTCAGAAATGTACAAAACAATTAGTTACTAGCGATATAACTCAGCCATATGGTCCCTGGCCATATGCATAAGCACCTATTAGCTGTAGTGTTGGTTTTGTTTTTGTTTTTTAAATATATTGACTTTTTTGCAGAGAGGAAGAGAGAGGGATAGAGAGTTAGAAACATCGATGAGAGAGAATCATCGATTAGCTGCCTCTTGCACACCCCCTACTAGGGATGTGCCTGCAACCAAGGTACATGTCCTTGACCAGAATTGAACCCAGGACCTTTCAGTCCGCAGGCTGACACTCTATCCACTGAGCCAAACCGGTTCCGGCTTCTGTAGTGTTTTTGTTTTAACTGTATCTGTTTGTACTCTGTCTTTGCTCTGGAAGATCCTCAACAATAGGAGGTTCTTGAACTTGAGTCCTTTTAGAAGATAAAGAGCCAGAATATGTCATCATTTTTACAGACTACTCCAAAACACGCCCCGGGTGGTTGATGCTTTAGAATGCACTTGCATACCCCTCTTTGCCTCCAGTCTTGTCTGAAAGAATCATTTTGTACTGGATCCCATTTATACAGTTCAAGGGTGAAGGAAAGTTCTCTGAGTAACTAAACTTACCATGTTCATTCAGTTAGCCTCTTCCTCACCCCATGCTTTTGGAGCAGACCAGAGGGGACCAAAGTGCCTAATAAAATTGTATCTCTGTTTCCTCCAGTTCATTGTAATTATTTTGCTTTGTTTCATTGTTTAGCAGAGGGTTACATTGCTGGAGTGAAATTTGGCCTAAAAGGAAGCTCAGAGAATCGGATAAGAAACCTGTTGTTCTAACTGGTGGGTGGCAGCAGCAGCAGCATCCTCAGTAGCTGGCCCCCCTTGGTGTTTGTCACTGAACTGGGCTGTGGACACATCTGAAGGACGCGTCTGACAAGGGGTCCATTTACCAGGGACCATAGATTTGTGAAGACAGGACATCATATTCTGATTATCTGGGCACAAGCACGGGCATTTCTTCAGGGAGTCTGTTCTCTTTTCAGTGCCGTTAGCCCATTTGGTATAAAACCAGGATTCCTGAACTCGGGCCTGAGATTATCATGAGGGCTTAGCAGGCCTCATCCTTGATACATGCGTGTTGTGTTACACTGGTAAGAGTTGTTTTAACTATAGCCGTCTTCCCTTTCAGTATATTTCTCTGTGTAAATTCTATTCAGGGATGATTTCATGGCATGTGGTCAGAAGTACTCGCTTCTCTCTGTTCTCAGTGATTTCGCTTCCCTCACCCTGTTGTGTACCGAAGGCCTTCCCACAGCACTGGCAGCACCTCCTCCTCCTGCGTGTTTCATCCTAGTCATCTGTGATTCAGAGCCAGCCACAGAGTATTACAGAAATAAAGTGCTGTTCATTTCCTCCCATGTCCATCTCTGCCACGCCACTCCAGATAGGGCTGGGGCCTCGCCAGCGTGTGCCTGTTGAGTAGGGCCCCCGAGTTCCCGCCCACTTCCAGAATCAACCTGTTGCTGTCTTAACATTTGTCATATGGATCTGCTCACCTTCTCATTAACGTGGTCAATTCATAAAAGGTTGTGTTATGTTGTCATTTATCTTCAGTTTTCTTATTTTCTAGGAACTTCCTGTAGAACAGCCCCCCACACAAAACAAACCTTAATTGACTAAATAAAGATAATGCATGCTCAACTTAGGATAAGCACTACGACAAAGGATGCGAGATCTACCAAGCTTGCAAGACCATGTGAAGCTGTCTCACACCTGCAGGCTTCTTGTTGCCCCGGTTAGAGTCAGGCATCTGCGTCTTCGCTGGTGCCCACCACGTGCTGGGCACCCGGGTGATTGAGATGCAAGAGGTGCTGTCAGACGGGCTAGATGACCTGGCCCATCGTCACGGGACTGACAACTCCGATGTGAGTGTGGCCCTGGTTTTGGCACATAGCAGAGGAAGGAGTGATTTGAACTTAACCTTGCAAAGCAAGTTCTCTTTTTTTTATCAATAGTTCGTTGTAGATTTCAGGGATGACAAATTCTAATGCACTTGTTTTAAGAAGTTTTGGTCACATACCAGCTCTTGATGCCTTTCTTTTAAGTTAATTATAGACAGAGGCATTTAGCTTCTCTCTCTGCCTGCTTTTTTTATTTTTTATTTTTTTAAATCACAAGCTGAATGCCAGCATAATCGAGAGGAAACCCGATTGGATATGGACTCCTTTATGTATGCCTCTTCCAGTTTCATGTGTGTTTATCCGGATGGACATCCTCTCAAATAATTATGTGGCACTAATTTATAACTATTATATTATAGGAGACTATGTAGCAATATATCAATGCCTAGGATGCATCTCAGGCCTAGAAAGCTGTATGTCTGCACTTAAGTAAAAAAAAATAAATAAATAAATAACTTTACATACAGTGTACTACAGTCTCTAATAGAGATTTAAAAACTACAAGTTGGCCTTTTCCTGGGTGTATCATTTCTCCATACATTATACATGCTTTCACCCTAATTAATGACTGAGTTGGTGGGAAATGGCTAGGTTATTCATATGTTTTTTTTCTCCTTTTGTTTTCAACTTTAAAAGTAATCTACCTCTTAAAATGTGTAGTTTAATACTTGTTTGGTGAATTTGTGCCATTTTAATCCTTTCACTATCATTCCCATTTTGTTACATTTCTGTTCTGGGGACTTTTGTGTTGAAATATTGTATAAAGCATTTGTAGCAGTTTAAAAATAAAATATTTAAAATTATTTAAATTGTTTTGGATGCTTCAATTGTATTGTGATTTGCCTTTTACACTTGTGTTTGAGTTGTTAATCTGGAGAGTGTTCTTGTACTGGAGTTTGCTGTTAGTTATTTTACTGTTTCTTGTTGGAGAGTTATGATATAAAAGACTATTTTAATGAAAACATTAAAATTTACAATTTGACATACAAAAGGGACTGTCTGTTGATTTGAACCATTGTAGCCTTTTAAGAGAGAAAGAGGCTAATTGTAGACAGACCGGCTTAGAGTGCCTGCTTGCTGTTTATCCCTTCCAGGATGAGACAAGTCACTTGAGCTTGTCAGATGTACGAAAGTTGTTTTATGCTATTGCTAGCAAGCACTTATCACTAGGGGAACTTTAAATGATGCATTTTATATCATTGTCACCAATAAAAACTTTCTAAAAGCTCGTGAAAGGACTGCATTTTGTACACGGTTGGGAGCAGTGAAGGGCACAGAAGGAAGAGGCCCGTAGGGAGCGTTGGAAGCCGCACGCTGTGCTGTGCGCTGGGCAGGGCCCAGCCCGCCCCGAGGACCGCCTCCCTTGCTCCTGGGTGGCATTGCCTGTTATTTCCAAGCCTTACCTGCATTGAGCAGGTAGCCGTGAAGGCGGACAGTGTGCTCGGAGGTATCTGGAGAGTGAAATAAAAGCATTTCACCCGTGGGGTCTCTACTTCCTCGATGCTTGCTAACAGTTGACTCTGGTTTGGGGATTTCTATTGTTAATCCCCAAAGAATGAAACAAAGAAGTTGGAACATCTGTATTGAGTTTATGTGGTATTGCTGTTTTTCTTGAGATGGAATGTTTGCAGTTTCTTAAAGTCCCACGTGATATAGCACTGTGGTTCTCATGCTTTACATCATATGTGTCATGCCGGAGTCTTCGGGGAAGGCGGTAAAGCTGAAGGAGTGATCAGTGTCTCCTGGCCAAATGTCCTCTAGTTCATGGTTCCCCCCTCTTCCCTCCTCCACCCCCCAGAGTCCCAGCGGGACAGTGGGGGAGGGGGGACAGGGCAATTTCCCAGGAGGCAGT